CAATCTTGGACTCTTAGCCTCTAGAATTGTGAGAAAATAAATTCCTATTATTTAAGCCACCCAATCTGTGGGATTTTGCTATGAGAATCAGAACAGATGAATACAGTACCTACTAGCTAAGTAACTGAGAAAATAACTTTTGAACCTGCTTTCTCATCTGTCAAATGAAGGCAATAATAGTAAGATTATAAGATTATCCTAGTAATTAATACATATCCTATGTAGGTCCTGATAACTTTAGAGAAATCTTTCAGTCAGGATCCCAGTTAATTTGTTGGGCAGAGATCTGCAGAAAGAATGGTGAATTCAAATTACTAATAAGGCAATCCCATCTGTTGACAGAAAGATGCCTGAACTCCAAGACTATCAGAGGGATAAAAGGGAAGATTCTGGCTATGAGACAAATTTTTAATGGGGGTCATTGTGGCTTCTTCCCAGCCAAAAACTCATTAAAATGGAAAACTGATGTTCTTGTTTGGATGGATCATTGGCCCCTACCAGAGAATAAGCTCATTCACTTATGAGCATTAAAGCAGTTGAATGCATGACATACTGAACCTCCCAATAGCACTTGGAATACTCTTATTTTTGTTATACTAAAGAAATCAAGGAAGCTTCAGGATTTAAGAGCTATTAATGAGTGTAATTACCCATGGACACGCTGCAGCCCAGATTTCCCTCTCTTACTGCACCTACCTATGACTGCACAGTACTGGCCTGTGATAGTTATTAATTTTAAGGATTGCTTTTTACTATCCCTTTAAGTCCATAGAATCGACCTCCTTTTGCTTTTTTTGTTCCTGCTACTAACTTTGCTGAGTCTATATTCAGATATCAGTGGACAGTTTTGCCAAAGGAGCATAGGACACTGTTTAGGCTTCAATCCTCCTACAGTGTTGACTAAAATGCGGCAATTGCAAAGCATTTGTATAATATGAAAGCAAGAACTTCATTTTGAGAAAGGATAGGGGAAAATGGCTAAAACAAGAGGAATATTAAAAATATACCTTACCCTTGTCCTTGAGATACACTTGATAATAGGGAGAATACTCCCTTGAGAGGTCTTAGGCAAAGTACTGATCTCAGGGGAAAACCAAGTTTCAACAAGACCAGGACAAGGAGAGGTCAGAGCAATGAGGATGTCAAGGAGTTTAACTGATCACAAAGCCAGTTCTAGAAAAGCACTAGATTTAGAAGAGGGCTCAAAAAAAGGATTTGGGAAGGAATGAGGTATAAGGAACTGGGCTATATACTAGCTTTTCTGTCACTAGGACACAATGCCTGGTAGCCACAATTTAAAGCAAAAGAGGTTTAATTTAGTTCACATTTTTAAATGAGTTCAGTTGATGGTAGGCTAGCTCCTAGGCAGGAATATCAGAGCAGAAGATTATGGCAGAGTAAAGATGCTTAGTTTCTGACTGCCAGTGAGACGGGGGATCAAGGCATGACAGAACTGGCTGGTTGGGAAGTAGGTATGATCTGTTAATTACAAATCACAGGACACATGCAGAAAAGTTCTCAAAGCCCTGAACCTGGATTTCTTAAGAGAACTCCAGCAGGTTTTCAGTAGGATGTCCTAGACCTGACATCAGCCTGAGGAGTGGATGATACAGAAAGGATGGTCTACGTTGAATTTTTGCCATTGTGTTCTCTCTTACATGGATAACCCACTTTCACACTATAGGAAATACTTCTTTTTCTGTTTTTTACTTTGCCAGTATCACTCTGTAGAGCCTGTTTTTTTCCTTTACTCTAATAAAACTTTGCTACCATTCATGATTGTCTCAACTAATTCTTTGATTGGGACAGAAAGAACCTAGACACCACCTTCGGAAGGAGACTCCAGCACTGCAAAATGGTGACACCAGGAAGCAGAGGAGGGGGACAGTGCCAGGGAGGAAGGAGTGAGGGGAACACACAAATATCCCAAGGCCAGTCCTCCATGAGCCATCTAGACACACCCAGAAGTGTGCCCCATCAATCCTCTAGATGAATCTCAAGGGCAATCAAGTTGACTCTCCACTCTAACTCACAGATTAGATGATGGCAAACATCAGCCCCAGCCTTGACCTTTCATGAGTTCCTGAGAGGCCTGAAGGGCATTTCCCTGTATACCTCAATGGGACAGCAATAGAAAGAGAAAAGACATGCCCTTGTTTGAGGTAACTCTAGAATCATTAGGTAACATCTTATTTCTACGTTTTTGTGCTAACTTAATACAGATTCTCCTATGTTTTAAAATTCTTTAAGAGAAAACAAACTCATGATTTCTCTCAATAATACATTCCATGGTTGTATTAGTCGGGGATTACTAGCGAAACAGAAATAACACAAGACATACAAATGCATAAGAAATTACAAAATTGGCTTATAATGGTCAGCCTCAAAGTTGGATGAGGGAGTACGTAGATGGTGTCAGCATGGTGAAGGGTGAAAGGTCCAACCCAAGGCCTAGAGCTTACTGCAATGTCCTATGCAAGTCCGTACCGGGAAGCTGCTCCGATGGAACACTGAAGAGACCATGACGAAAGGCTGAACAGTCTACAATGAAGGCTGAAGAATCCATGATGAAGGCTGAAGAGTTCCACAGGAAAGTTGAACAGTCTGTGCCAGAGCCAGGAGATGACACCCATGCTAACGGTGAAGACTGGAGCTCCTGGGAAGAACCAGCAATCAGTCCCTCCTCATTTGCCTTTTATTGTATGCAGGCTGCTCTGCTGTGCTGGGTGTAACACTCACACCATCTGCCTGCCCTCCTCTTACGCAGGCTGAGGATATTATAGACTAGGGACCCTGGCTGCCTGCTGAATCATTCAGTTAAACTTTTGACCTTCTCAAATTGACACAATGAACAATATGCTGGACTGGTAATGATTTGTCCTTTACATCCCAGGATGCAGAGCTGCTGAGTCACTTACTTAAGCTTCTAGGCTTCTCAAGTTGACAAAATGTATAAACCATAACAGTGGCTTAACAATTCTTTAACATTCAGTACTAAAAACAGTACCTAATGCTTAATGGATGCTTAGTACAGTTTTAAAAATTAACTGAATGAAGTCATGATACTTCCCCTTTATCCTCTTTAATTTACTCATGGAAGTCCATGGTGTTATTTTAACAAAATAGAGTCTAAAATTATTTTCCCATTGTGTAATTTCAGATATCACAAATAAACTTCTACATAATTTTTTACTCAAATGTTGATTAAGTGGCTATTTAATCATGTGATATCTATATCATGGATTTCCTTAGATTTAAAATTTTGCATGAGTATTAGTTGCTAACTGGCTTCTCCATGGTGTCTATCATAATGGAGGCATAGGATAAATGCTTAGTAAGTGCTCTTTGAATAAGTTAACACATTCTTTAGTTTATTACTGAACATACATTTGAAAATTCATGATATTCCTAGTGCATATATATGTATATGTGTTATATATATAATACCTTTCTATGTCTCACAAACTAGCACCTAACAAAACATTCAGTATGCCTGGATAAAAATTGCTATTGTGTCCCTTACTATCTATGTGTCTTTGGACAGAATACATTTCTATATCTGTGTGTCCTTGTCTATAAAACAAAGATAATTAAATATCCAAAATTTGTCATGATAAATAAGTTAATGTCAAGTGTTTAGAACAATGCCTGGCACAGAATGAATTTAGAAACTATTGCTGTTTTTAGGTATCTAATATATATTTATGGAATTCTTTAATAAATCATATAATCCACCACATTGGCTCATCAGTAAGTACCAACTGATCTATTCAATAAATTCTGCTGTGACTAAACAGTGAGGCATGTCCTCTACCAATAAAGTTTGATTAAAGATTTCAGTTTTCAAGTAATTAGATCAGGAAATTAGCATGCAAAAAAGCAGTGCTCTCACTTTATGAAAAGAAGAAACATGAGAAAATGTAGGTTGAGGTGCCCTGGACTAGGTCCACAGGTTACCAAAAAATGAAGCAGTCAATAGGTTGACAACTCTGAGAAAAAGTTTGTTACATATAATTACAAAAAGTGGAAAATGCTTCAGGAAGTCAAACTCTATAGATGAAGAAACAGTAATTTAAATTACACAAAAAGGCATTATACTGATTATTATTTGCTTCTGCTATAAGGAATACAGAGTCAGATAGTACAGAGAATGAGATCTACTGGTAACTTTTGGTGGAAAGCAGGTTGGGGAACACAGCAAATGAGAACTTTGCGGAGTCAGCAGGACTCCGCACTCGGAACACCATTTGCCAGTGCACTCGTGTTCAGGGGTGTTAAAAGTGAGTATATACCCTAACATATGTAAAGAAAAGTGAAGAAAATTTTAGAGGACAGAATTAGAGGACTGATTTATATTTAAGGAGCAATGTTCATCATGTTTCATTTGGCAATAAAATTAATGAAATGACTAAATGTAAACAATTACCCTGATAACTTTAAGGGAAAAATAGATAAAATGCAATAAAAGGTTTTCTTAAGCATATGTTAAATCAAAGAAATTTTCCTGAAAATAGTGGATTCCTAAATAAGCAAAGGAAAACATTGTTATGCACTCAGCACTTCTGTTTTTTTTTTTTTTTCTAAAATGAGACAAGATTTATTGATGAGCTGGATTAAGGAAAGGACAGAACAACAGAAGCCTTCAAGAATACAGGGCCTGATACTTGTCTCAGGGACTACAAATGAGGGTCTGTTTCACCCCACAACTATGAAGGATGAGCAACTTCTCAGCTTCCAGGTCTTTAAATTCATTTGAATTATGCTTGGTAAAGCCCTACTTCTTTGAGATATGGATTTTCTAGTGGCCAGAAAACTTGAACTTGGCCCTGAGTAGGACTTCAAACATTTGCTCCTTGTTCTGCAGCTTGGTGTCAATAGACTGGATGATTTGCCAGTGTGACCCATGCGACCCTCCTGGGGATTCCCTTAGCTCTGCTTACTTGTCTGGCGTCTAGACAGGGGACAGTATGAGATCAATGATAATGACAACCACTGGAAAGCACTGTCTCCAAGGTCCCTTAGGGCAAGCCATGCACACAACAGGCTGAGTGCACTACTCAGGAGGTTGCTGTTTGTAGCCATTGCACACTGGACACCCACAAGTAAAGGAAACTGTTGGTTTAATTGGATGCTGTTAATGTTTTATTTTATCATATTAGATATACAATACTTAAACTACTTCTAGGAATATTTTAGTTTTAAAATCACTACTTTTGGTTTTCTGAGTGGTAAGATTAAAAGGGATTTGAATTTTCTAAAAGTTGATATATTATTCTTGAAATTAAAAAGTAAATAAATCTTAGATTGACATCGACAACAATAATAAATTGGGGACAACTTGGTTAATAAATTGTTAAAAAATTTGCCTATACATTTCACCAAAAAAGTACACAAATGGCTTCTAAGTATATAAAGAGATAGTCAACATTGCTAGTCACTAGAGACATAAACTAAAACCACAGTGAGATTTACAAGGCAATAGTGTTATTAGAAAAAATAACATGTTAAAAAACACATGTAAGGTGAGGAAATGGAGAGATTAGAACTGTTGTGTATTGCTGATGGGAATGCAAAATAATACAGCCACAATGAAAGCTAGTATGGCAGTTCTTTTAAAAATTAAACATAGCTATAGCTCAGTGGTATAAGAGCTTGCCTGGCAACTGTGAGGTCCTGAGTTCGATCCTTGGTACAAAACAAAAACGTTAAACATAGAACTGCCATATGATCCAGCACTTCTACTAGAAATGTATTAAAAAGTACTGAAAACAATGACTCCAAAAGATATTTGTACATCAACTTTTACAGCAGTATTATTATAACAACCAAAAGGTGAAAGTGATCCAAGTGCCACTGACAGACAAATGGATAAACAAAACAAAACATGGTGCACCATACATTCACCATACAATTTTTATCCAGCATTTAAAAGGAATGAAACGTCGGCCAATGTTGCAGCATGGATAAACCTTGAAGATATAATGCCAGTTGGAATCAGCTAGTTAGGAGAAAAGAACAAATATTTCATGATTCTACTAATATGAGGTACCTAGAGAGTTTAAGCTCATTTAGACAGAAAGTAGAATAGCGGTTGCCAGGCTGGAAGGAGAGCAAGTGAGGAGTTATTATGGATGTGGAGTTTCCCACTGGGGAAGTTGGAACGTCCCAGAGATGCATAATGAGTGCTTACACAGCAATGTAAATGGGTCTAATATCATGGACTTATATACCTAAAATAGTAATTTTTATGCTGTATATAATTCTACTACAATTATTTAAAATGTCATATTAATTAAAAATGATCAAAACATCCTGACCAAAGAGGAATTTGAGCTGGTTTATTTTTGTAGGGGTTGATGTCAGGACCCATTTTGTTCTCTGGATGAGTAACTTGAAGAAGTTAGTGTGATACAAGAGTAATTTACAGCTGACCCAGCACTGTTAGGTGAGATATGTATAACCAGACAGAGAAATAACTGAAATCTGACTCTGATGCTAGAAATATTGCTTTGCAGTAATTTTAGAAAAAGTACACACAAGATAATGCCACACAGCTTGGAATTTGTCAGTGTCAATTGGAACTATCAATGGTATGGTGGAAAGAACACTTGAGTGTTTTTTCATTGAGAAATTCTGAGCTCAAATCTTAATTGTGTCTTTCAGGAACTGTGTAAATTTTATTTTATTTTATTTTTTAAATTTTATTTAAAATGAAAAAGAGAAAAAAACAAAACAAAACAAAGCGGTGTAAGGGTACAAGTAATACAGAACTACAAAAAAAAAAAAAACAACAGTAAGAAATCACCAGTTAGTAGACTACACATTATCATTTTAGAGATAGTTGCTCAAGTCACAGGATCAAAGCATACAAAGTGGACATTCAAACAGTGAGACTGCAAACAGTTATGTTCAATGATCCAAAAACATTAATACAGTCATCTATTTAACACCCCTAAACACACTTGCAGTTGTATCCTGTAGAGCACTTTTTTCCCTCTCTTTTTTACAACAAAATTTACACATTTTGGGTTTTATTACTCCTTAGTTCTTATTACTTTTTTTTTTGGAAGAGAATAAAGTCAAATATGGCAAAACAAAGCTGTCAGTCAAAACCAAGGATAGACATAGTACATGATGTAAGAACAGAGTACAAGGTTATCAACAATGGTTACCATAATGTCTCTTGTTTCCTTAAAAAGAATTGTCTATCGCATTAGGTATTATAAAGTTGAACAAAACAGCAGAGAACAAGACCAATAAAACCTAAACATTGTAAACATTACAGGACTTCCAAAGGAGATAATAGTCGAACCAGAATGGGCATCATAGTGAATCTTATTGCCTTCAAACTAGTTGCCTATACCCTCAAACTTGATACTATCATACAGAACAGAACAAAGTCTAATCAGTCAAAACAAAATAGTGGGAGTATTACAGGACTTCAAATCAAGTTAATAGGAAATCAAAAAAGTTACTATAATATATCCTGCTAATTTTTTTTATTTTTCCCCTTAATTAAAAAAAATCATACAAAATAACTAAATAATTTTTTTAATGCATAAGGGAGAGAATGAGATAAAAGAGGACATAACAACATAACAATACAGGTCAAAGCATGACTGTTTCAGCAACCTAGTGCTTCACCACCAAATAACCCGACTTAATAGTAGTTACCATAGTGTCTGTCTTTTTCCTTGAAATATTTGGATAAAACTTCATATACTATAGCTTCAAATATTTCCATATCAAGAAGCCCAGAATAAAGCCTTTCCAATTAATAAGTGAAAACTTTATAAGGCTTCAAGGCCACATAATGGGAATCATGATTACCACATACTTTTATATATTTGAATCATTACTTACATAAGGGAAACTTCAGTATTCACACATGCGAGATTGATTTATTTCACTTATGAGTATGGTCTCAACCTGCGCCCATTTATTGATAAATATCTCAATGTGATCCTTCTTTATAGCTGAGTAATACTCCATTGTATAGAAATACCACAACTTTTTTATCCATTCCTCAGTTGATGGACACTTGGGTTGTTTCCAAGATCTGGCGACTACAAATTGTGCTGCTATAAACATAGGTTCACATATATCACTGTGATAAGATGCTTTCAGTTCTTCTGGAAATATGCCTAGAAGTGGAATAGCTGGAACAAATGGGACTTCCAATCCCAACTTTTTGAGAGATTTCCAGACTGACCTCCACAAAGGTTGTACCAGTATACATTTCTACTAACAGTGTAGAAGAGGTCCTTTTCCCCCACAACCTCTCCAGCATTTGTTGTTGTTGGTTTTCTTGATCCTGGCCTTTCTTTCAGGAGTGAGATGGAATCTCAGTGTAGTTTTAATTTGCATTTCTCTAATGACCAGTGATGGTGAACATTTTTTCATGTATTTATTTGCCATTTGTATTTCTTCATCTGAGAAGTGTGTATTCATCTCAGATGCCCATTTTTGGATTGGATCTTTGAATTTGGGGGGTCTGAGTTTTTTTTAATTCTTTATATGTTTTAGACAAAAGTCCCTTGTCTGAGGGGGAGTTCACTAAGATTTTTTCCCAGTTTGTGGGTTTACTTTTCACTATGCCGGAGATTTCTTGTGACATGCCGAAACTTTTTAATAAGAGGTGGTCCTAGTTATTGATTCTGGGAAGTATTTCCCATGCAGTTTGAGTCCAGTTCATGAATTCTCTACCTACCCCTACGTCTTCAAGGTTTCTACCCAATTTGTCTTCCAATAGATTTAGTGTTTCTGTTTTAATGTTCAGATCTTTGATCCATTTAGATTTTAATTTAGTACATGGTGATAGGCATGGGTCTAGCTTTAGTTTTCAGCAAATGGAGAGCCAGTTTTTCCAACGCCATTTATTAAAGAGACTGTCGTTCTTCCAGTGAACCTGCTTGGCTCCATTATCAAAGATAAGGTGGTTGAGTGTGTTTGTAGCAGTGGTTGTATCTTCTAATCTATTCCATTGATCTTCGTCTCTGTTTTGATTCCAGTACCATGTTGATTTTACTACTGTTGTTTTGTAGTATAACTTCAAGTCAGGGATTGTGATGCCTCCTGCATTGCCTTTGCTACTTAGAATTTCCTTTGCTATTCTAGGTCTCTTCTGATTCCAGATGAATTTTAGGAGTGATTTCTCTAGATTTATAAAGTATATCGGTGATATTTTTATTGGGATGGCATTGAACCTGTATAACAGTTTTGGGAGAATGGCCATTTTCACAATGTTTGTTCTTCCTATCCATGAGCAAGGGATGTCTTTCCATTTTCTGAGATCATCTTCAATTTCTTTTTTCAGTGCATTATAATTTTCCCTGTATAGGTCTTTCACTTCTTTCATAAGAGTAATTCCTAAATATTTCATTTTTTTGCTTGCTAGTGTGAAGAGAATGGTTTCTCTTATTTCCCTCTCTGTGATTTTGTTGTAAGTGTATAGGAATGCTATTGATTTCTGAGTATTGATTTTGTATCCAGCTACATTGCTGAATTTATTTATTATATTTAAGAGTCTTTCAATGGAGTTTAGGGGGTCTTCTATGTAGAGTATCATGTCATCTGCAAAAAATGATAATTTAACTTCTTCTTTTCCTATCTTTACCCCTTTTATTTCTCTCTCTTGTCTAATTGCTCTGGCTAGTACTTCCAGTACTATATTAAATAGGAGTAGTGATAAAGGACATCCTTGTCTTATGCCTGATTTTAAAGTAAAGGCTTTCAATTTTTGGCCATTTAATATGATGCTGGCTGTTGGTTTGTCATAAATGGCCTTTATTATATTGAGATAAAGACCATCTATTCCAATTTTCTGTTAAGTTCTTATCATGAATGAATGTTGGACCTTATCAAAGGCTTTTTCTGCATCTATAGAAATGATCATGTGATTCTTACTTTTGACTTTATTGATATGGTGGACTACATTTATTGATTTACATATGTTGAACCATCCCTGCATTCCTGGGATGAATCCCACTTGGTCATGGTGTATAATCTTCTTGATGATTTGCTGCATTCTATTTGTCAATATTTTATTGAGGATTTTTGCATCTGTGTTCATTAGGGAGATTGGTCTGTAGCTCTCTTTTTTAGTTGGGTCTTTCTCAGGTTTTGGTACTAGAG